CCGCCGAGGTTGGGTAGGAGCAAGGCGCTGGCCGGGGGCGGGCCGCACTGCCGGTGCCTGACGGTTAGGGAGGTGGCCCGGACCTGGACACGAGCACCGGGCCCCCGCGGGCCGCGTGAGCACGCTGCCCCAGGACCCCCCTCGCCCCGCACCGGTCTGCTCTCCACGCGGCCCCCGCAGGCCTCAGCTCAGAGGAGCGCGCTGTTTTGCTCGGGCACCACTTCCTCCGGCGTTTGCAGAAGCGGCTGCGAGAGACCCCACCCCTCCCCGCTCCTGTGTGCGCGGGGGAGACCGGGCAGTGCGGCCCCCCGGGGACGGGCTCAGCCTCACAGCTTCCAGAATACTCGAGAGTTAGCGTGAGGGCGGCCGGGCCCGGAGCCCCTGCTGCAGGCAGCTCACCGTCGTGACGGAGGAACTCGGGCCCCGGGCTGAGGCTGGTGGCACCCACGCTCCCGGGGCTGCAGGACGTCCTGACGGCTTCCGGGTAGCCTGGCGTCCCCGCAGCTCCTCCTTTGGGGGCCCCCCTTAGTCGGGCCCACCCCCTCACCCCTGGCCAGCCGGGGCTCCGTGCTGGGGGGTGGCGCCACGCGGGCCCTGCTGGGTCACAGCCGGGAGCGCCTTAGACCATCTCCTGCGGGGGCAGGGACTTCTAGAACAGGCCACAGACCTGTCAGGGAACTCCCGGGGGCCGCCCCCCTTGTCGGCCCTTCCCAACTGGCAGGGGGCTGACCTGAGACCCGGGGGCGGGATGGGCAAGGCCCAGGGGCGACCCTCCGGGCCCACGCCTGCCAGCGTGTCTGGGAACGTGGGCTCAGAAGGTCAACGTCACTTGGGAAACAACTTTCTAGACTCACCTTGTTGACTTCCAGGAGCTACTTTCTGTAGCTTCAGGCAAACCCTGGCTTCCTGTGACCTCTGACTGCTGGAAACACGCCGCCAAGTGGGGCCGGGCGGGTAATCTGCGCTCTTAGGGTGCACCTCCCCTGCCCAGGCAGCTTCGGGCGGGACTGGGGCCAGCACAGCAGCCCCTCTGGGCCCAGCCTCTGCCCCTGCAGGACAGAGAGGCCCATGGGCCTGCCTCACGGAGCACAGCAGGAGCCCACGGCCCCTTGGGGCTCCGGGCGTGCCCTGCACACTGTGGGAGCGTGGGTTTAGAGCGCTCGCCTTCTCCCAGACCCTCTCTGGCGGATAAGGGTGCTTCTGGTGAGGGAAGGAAGTATCGAGATAGGGTGCCGTGGACGCTGTCCCCCACCTGCCAGGGCCCTGCTGTAGCTCAGGCCCCTACAGGCATGGTGGGCGCTCTCCCGGGGGTCCTGGTCCTTTCCGTAGGGGGGAGGTGCCGTGACATGCCTGCAAGTCACACGCACTTCACATTTTGGGTCATCGTTTCGCCAGGGGAAATTCCTAGAAAGGATTTTACAAGATCAAAAGTTAAGTGCGCCCCAGACTTTTGGAAGCATGCTGCACAATCGGGCCCAAAACATTCATGCCGGTTTACGCTCCCATCAACGCAGTAAAGACACCCGCTTCCTCACACTTTCGCCAACACTGAGAATTAGAGTCCTTTGTTTTTGTCAGCCTGATAAGCAAGAAAAGACTGCCCTTCTGACGTTGATGTTCGCATTTCTTTGATTATAAGTAGAGTCGAGCACTTTTTGGGTTTTTAGGAGCTGTTTATTATGTCTTTTGCAAAGTATCTGCTCATGGGCTCCGAAACTTCTTATATTCATTCATTTTTTATTGTATTTTTTGATGTTTGTTTACTTTTGAGAGAGACAGAGACAGAAGGCGAGTGGGTTGGGGCAGAGAGAGAGGGAGGCACAGAACCTGAAGCAGGCTCCAGGCTCCGAGCTGTCAGCACAGAGCCTGATGCGGGGCTCGAACTCACGAGCTATGAGATCATGACCTCAGCCGAAGTCGGACGCTCAACCGACTGAGCCACCCAGGTGCCCCAAAACTTCCCATATTTATTGATTTGTAGATGTTCTTTGTATATTGAGGATCTGCTGTTATATCTATATATATCCAAACATATCTATATATCATATATAGATATATCTATATATCATATGTGTATCATATATATCATATATCTATATATATCCTATATATCATATATATATCATATATATCATATATAGTTATATCTATATATCAAAATACAAGACTTGACACATAACAAATGCTCGCTAAGGGTTGAGTCATCTGTTGAATGACTTAATTTCTGATCTAATCTGATTTTCCTAAAGCCATTCCGTCCTACTCTTTGTCCAGGTCACTTTAAGCTCTTGGAGCAAACTGCTCAGTAGGATCAAGAAGACACATGACATGTACTAGAAACCGGAGTGCGTGTTAGAGCCTCTCTGAGATCGGAGCAACTCAAGTATGCCAGGTGAGCCCCCTTCGTGTCTCCGTCAACTTTAACCACTTAGGAGGGACTGCAAGAATTTTTCTAGAATGCACGTCACCTCAACATGGGAGTAATTACTTCAAAACTTAGCGTGAAAAATAGCCTTGTCTAAAAAAAAACCGTCTCCGAAACAATAAAGGTGTAGGGTCTCCATCAAGACACAGGGAAGCGTCTGTTTCTTTGCTCTCGAGGCGCTAGGAAACACCGGGAACAGGACCGCGAGGGACCGGGGTCTCCTATCATGCCCATCTCTGGCCAAGTGCTGAGCCCCAGAGCTGTCACCTGTCACCTGTCTCCCGCCCTTTTCCCAGGGGGTCGGGGCCCTCGTGTGTGCCTGCGGGGGGGGGGGGGGGGGGGCAATTGACAAGTGGGCCCGACAGCGCCCAGGCCCCCGTGCCTCGGACCCTCACCGGTAAATGGGGATGGCTGTGCCTGTCCCGGGGAGGGGGCGGGGAAGCCACCTCACACCCATTAGGACCATTAGGACGGCAACCCTCACAAAACAAAACACCAAAGTGTTGGCGAGGACGCAGAGAGACCGGGTCCCCGTGCACCGTCGGTGGGAACGTTAAGCTGGCGTGGCCGCTACGGGAAACAGCCCAGCGGTTCCTCACAAAGTCGAAAACAGAACTGCCGTGTGATGAGCAATCCCACTACGGGTATTTACCCGAAAGAAGTGAAAGCCGGGTGTCGAAGTGACATTTGCACGCCCGAGTTCTCGGCAGCATGCGTCCGAAAGGGGGGGGGGGAGTGGAAACGACCCGGGCCTCCATCGACAGAGGACTGCGTGAACGCACGCGGCCCAGCCTTAGCACCGAAGGACGTTCGGACACTGGTGGCGGCAGGGACGGGCCTTGAGGACCTGAAGCCGAGTGAGGGAAGCCAGACGTAGAAACACAAATCCTGTGTGACCCCACTCCTGCGGGGGCCTGGGGGGGTCGACTCCCAGGGACTGAGCAGAACGGGGCGCGGGCGCTGCGGGAGCCGAGGGGACTTCGGGTTTAACTTCCGGTTTAACGGGGACAGTGTGGCAGTGTTGCAAGCGTCCCCAGCGTCTCCTGAGGAACTGAAAGGCAGGGGCCAGGGGCAAAGGCTCTGGTAAGCGTGTGTCACCAGGAAGGACACAGACGTTTGTTTCTGTGACAGGTCCCAGAGGAGGCGGGGGAGGGAGGACGGGGTCCAGGGTGGCCCCGGGCGCAGGTCGGGCGGTCAGAGGGGGCCCAGGAGAGCAGGCTGGGCAGGAGAGGGAGGTGCCCGGGACGCGGCAGATTCCTTCCCCACGGCGGGTCCCCAGAGAGTGCGTGCGTCTGCAGTGTCCCTGCCACTTACAGCTGGGGGCTCACGCCTGAGGGCACGCTTCATCCTTGTGACTCGTCCGCCCGCCACATCGCCTGCCCCTCAGGAGCACCGGTGAGGGAGGGCAGGTGAGGACCCACCTCGGGCTCTGGCAGCTTGAGCCGGGGCTCAGGGCTGTTCTCCTCACTGGCTTCTTGCTGTTGGACGGGGTGGTGACTCAAAGGTGGCCGTCAGGTCACGCCTTCCTCCGGGGGCCTCTGTCACAAGCAGGTGCTGCAGGGGCCCCCGTGTCCGGGCATCTTCCCAGTTTAGGTGAAGGGACACTAGGGGCACTCCCTGGGGCTCCCTCTTCCCATGCGGTGGCCCGTCGGCCAGCCTCAACGCGTTCCTGCTATGAAACACCTCAGAGCTGGGTCACACATCGGCCGAGCCCCGTGAAAGCTTGTCTGAACTCTCGAGGGGAAGGAAAACCCTGAGCAGGGGTGGGGAAGGTGGTCAGTGGCACCGGGCCGGGTGGGTGTCCGAGGCTGTGCACCGATGCGGTCCCTTCCGTCCCGGGGCATTGGGGTCCCCAGAACTCCAGAGCCCTGAGCGTCTCTGGCCCTCGGACTTCGTGTGATGCCAGATGATGGTGACTGTCCCCTGTTACTGAATCTCAGTGAGAATCAGCACAGGGACATTCACAGGCCTAAGACGGCACAGAGGCCGTTCTACGTTTACGCCCTGACTCACTGCTGTTCGTTTCCTAATGGGCAGGGACAGCAGGTGAGCCGTGGCTCTGGTGCGGGAGTGGGTGTGGGGGCTTGAAAGGGGTCCCCTGCATACGGGACCCCAAAGGACAGCCCTGGGCAGTGAGGGCTGGAGTGAATCCGAGGATCCCTGCCCGCTGGCCGCCAGAGCTCGGATGGGGGTCCCAGGCGACTGGTGACGGGAGGCGATGCCCCTTCCACTCAGGCAATGCCCGCAGGTAATGCCCAGCAAACGTGGGCTCAGAACCGCCGCCCACCTTCAAGGGAGCCGGGCTGTGGTGCGTGGGCAGGGGCCAGAGGGCTAGTGCCGTGGGGTTAGAGCCCTCAGCCCTCGGTGCCAGCTGCTGGGACGGCCTCATGGGTGCGACAGGGGCACCTGGGGCGCGTCGGGGGCACGCAGGGCACGGACTGAGCCAGAGGCCATCCGGACAGACTTGGAAAGGAGCCAGATGGAGTTTCCAGGAATGAAGGCTGTATCACTTGGGCGAGTTAGACACCGATGAAGGGACTCCTACCCTATAGCTGGACACCAGCAGGCTCCTTGGATGGCACGGGACAAGGGGGCCGAGGTGGAGGAGGCCCCACAGCAGGATGAGACTCGTGTGTCCGACACAGCCGAGCAGAGCCCCGAGGGCGAAACCCGGGGTCCCTGCACACTGGTGGGATCGATACACTCTCGGATTCCACAGGTCCGAAGACAGGACAGCCAGACCGACGGGTGACTGCTCCCCGCTTCGGAGGCCAGAGGACGGAGCACAGGGCGTCCACGTGCCAAAGCTGCGGGGGACCCCTGGGTGAAGAGGGCGTCTCAGGCGGACCCGCGGGGGCTCCTACCAGCAAGGTCCTGTCCTTGGCAGAGGACGTCCTGAGGCAGGACGAGGGGTCTCAGGAGGGCGGCCCAGAGGAGGCAGGTGAGCCGGCAGGAGCCCGGCCGCCGCGTGGCTCGTCGCACAGGGCAGACGACAAGGCCAACGTGCGAAGCTAGAAACGCGCGAGTCCCCACACGACTGGAACCCTGGGGGGAGCGGTGCGTCGGCCAGTCGGGCCCAGAGAGATAGTTCTCGGGGCTCCCGGGCCACACGCTCAGCAGGGTGCAGACTCTGACGAGCTCCGGACACATGGAAGCACACATTTCGTTTCCAGGGTAGTCTCTGAAAACCTAAAAATAGACTTGATAATAACTTCCAAATGAGTAGAGGCGGGAAACAGAATTTAAGAAGTAAACAAATCCAGAAGATGTGTTTGCTCGCTTGGTGGGAAGGGAGAGTCTGTCCTAGCCGCTCTCCTTGGCTGGTGGAGGGCTGCCATCTCCCTGTGTCCCCACACCGTCTTCCCCACCCGCGTCCCTGTGTGCGAATGTGCCCACGTAATAAGAACACGGTCCCAAGGGATTAGGGCCCACCCAAATGGCCTCATCTGAACCCGGCCGCCTCTGCAAAGACCGGCCCCAAATACGGTCATGTTCTAAGGTGCTGGGGTCAGGGGTCCCCCACGTCTTTTTGCGGGGGGGACACAGTTCAACCCATAACAAAAGACAAAAGGGGAATAAAAGCAAACAGAAAAGCAGACAAAGGAGCACAAAGTAAGGTGGAGAAAAGCAACAAAACCATATCAGTGATGTCAAGAGTATAAACGGATTGCAATCGGTAACTGAGAGGCAGCGAGCGTCAGATTTCTAACTCCAGTCGGAAGCGTCACATCCAAACCATAAGGATGCAGACAGGCTGGAAGTAGAGGTGGGGAAAAAAATACCAATGACTACTCATCGAGAGAGAGCCGCTCTTTTTATATTAAGTACTAAACAAAGACTTAGTATTAAAAGCATTATTAGAAATTACACTGCCTTCCTGTGGTTGTGTTACAAATGACTACAAACATAGAGGCTTATAAATGCCCATCTTCATTGTTCGGGGGATGAGAGGTGAGAAATGGGCTAAAACCAGGGTGTCACAGCCGCGTTCCTCCTGGAGACTCAGGGAGAAGCCGTTTCCCTGCGTGTCCGGCTCCCAGAAGCTGCCCGCATCCCTGGGCTGGCAGCCCCTTCCTCCCTCTTCAGAAGGGCCGGTGGCCCCCACGTCCCCACATTCCGGGACCCTGTGACAGCACCGAGCCTGCCCCGGCAATCTACGGCAGCCTCCCTCTTTTCCTAGTGTCAGGCAATTCACAAACCCAATTCCATTTGCAACTCCTTTTGCCACGGAACCAGAGTTGCACATGAGCCAATCAAGCCGCTAGACTCACAGGTTCTGGGATCAGGATGTGCACGTCTTTGGGGGGCGGGGGCGTTATTCCACCGACCCCAGAGATAAAGAGACCATGACATAATAGTACAGAGGTCAATTCATCAGGAAATCAGAACAGTTTTTAACTCACACGCACCAATTAACAACGGCTTAAAACACATAAAGCAAACCTTGAGAGAACTACAAGAAGTACACAAATCCCCCATCACGACAGGGGGGGTTAATCACTTTTCTCCATAACTGACGGTTGAAGCAGGCAAGATGGTGCTGTGCACGAGCCGGGGTCAGGGATTGGGGTCAAAGCATGAAAGCTGCTATAGAAGGGCGGTGGGGGGGGGCACCCCGACTCTATTGAAAATGTGCACAGAAGAACACTCACTCAACAATTAAAGAATACACTCTGGGGGTGCCTAGGTGGCTCAGTTGGTTAAGCGCCCGACTTTGCTCGGGTCATGATCTAGCGGTTCGTGAGTTCAAGTCCCGCGTCGGGCTGTCTGACGGCTCGGAGCCTGGAGCTGCTTCGGATTCTGTGTCTCCCTCTCTCTCTGCCCCTGCCCTGCTCACATTCTGTCTCTCTCTGTCTCAAAAATAAACACTAAAAAAAAAAAAAAGAATACACTCTGTTTTCCGGCACACAAGCAACCCTTTGAGAACTGACCTCCGTGAGTTACGAGGACTCGGCGTCGCACAGCCCATGGGCTGTGACGCCGCCAGGCTGGAGCCCAAAAATCTGACAGGCATTTGGAGAACCCTTAAACGCCTGGTGCCTCTGGTCTGGAGCGAGCACGAGTCGTATGTTCTCTTGGTTCCCAGGCGCTCCTGTCCTCACGCTTGTCTCTGTCCCACAGGGAACGACACCCTAGTAAGCGGCCCTGTCTCAGCGACCCCGTTTCCCGGCACGGGCCCCTGTAACGTGTCCTTCGAGGACAGCAGAGTGGTCCTGGTGGTGGCGTACAGCCTCGTGTGCCTGCTGGGCTTCCCAGCCAACTGCCTGACGGCGTGGCTGACGCTGCTGCAGGCGCGGCAGGGCAACGTGCTGGCGGTCTACCTGTTCTGCCTGGCGCTGTGCGAGCTGCTCTACATCGGCACCCTGCCCCTCTGGGTCGTCTACATCCGGAACCAGCACCACTGGACCCTGGGCCCGTGGGCCTGCAAGGTGACGGCCTACATCTTCTTCTGCAACCTGTACGTCAGCATCCTTTTCCTGTGCTGCGTCTCCTGCGACCGCTTCGCGGCGGTGGTGTATGCCCTGGAGACCCGAGGCCGCCGCCACCAGAGGACCGCCTTCCTCATCTCGGCGTCCGTCTTCCTCGTCGTCGGCCTCATCCACTACCCGGTGTTTGAGATGGAAGACGGGGACACCTGCTTCGAGACGCTGCCCACCAACACCAGGGTCGCCAGCTACTGCTATTCCCGCTTCGCCGTGGGGTTCGCCGTCCCTCTCTCCGTCATCGCGTTCACCAACCAGCGGATCTTCAGGAGCATCAAGCTGAGCACGGGCCTGAGCGCCACCCAGAAGGCCAAGGCGAAGCGCCTGGCCATCGCGGTGGTGCTCATCTTCCTGGTCTGCTTCGCGCCCTACCACCTGGTGCTCCTCGTCAAGGCCATCGCCTTTTCCTACTACAAGGGAGACCCGGGCTCCATGTGCGCCTTCGAAGCCAACCTGTACACGACCTCCGCGGTGTTCCTGTGCCTGTCCACGGCCAACGGCGTGGCCGACCCCATCATCTACGTGCTGGCCACGGGCCACTCGTGGCAAGAGGTGTCCAGGATCCACAGGGAATGGAGGAAGTGCTCCGCGAGGACAGATGTTGTCAAGCTCACGTGTTCCAAGGACTCAGAGGAGGCGCCCCTGCCCACGACGCTCACTAACGGCCACACGATCCCCAGGATCGTCGAGCCCCCGGAGCCACAGCCGCGTGCATGGGGCTCACCGTGCACCTTGGAGAGGCCGGGCGAAGAGTCCTGTTGAGCCCGCGTGGGAGCCCAGGAGCGGTGGTGTGGCTTCCCCGTCCGCTGAGCTTGCCAATGAGTGCCCGCGGCGCTGGCCGAGAAGCCCCCCTCTGGGAAACCCGCCAGGATCTCTCGTTCCTGGAGCCACGCTCTCCGTCGGCCCATCAGGGTCCCGGCCCCCCCGGCTCCCCCCGCCCGGGCCGACACAGGAGGCGGCTCGCCCAGGCAGCGCGCGGCTGGCAGGCCGGCCTCTTCGTCCGCACACATCCCGGCCGGCTCACCCGGCCACTAGCGAACAGCAGGGCTGTGGGCAGGGGCCGCGCGCCTGCCCGGTGTGGCCCTGCACGGTGCCCGGTCACGCGCAGTGATGACTTTATTTCCCGTGCTTTTCTGCAAGCAGTGCTTGGATGACCGGATAGTATGGCAGGGGATCTTTGTGCTCCGTCTCAGGATGCCCTGCCCGCAGGGCCAGCTCGCTGTGGGACAGCCGAGGCCGACGAGGGGGCAGGAGCCCAGGCCGGAGGGCCCTCGGCCGGGCCGGCTCTGTGCCACGCAGGTGTGAGGTCGCGGGGTGCCGGGGACTCCTCGGGGGAGCCGTGGGCTGGGGCACCAACTGCTCTGACTTCAGCAGGGCAGCCGACGGGCCTCCTGTAGGGTGGCCCAGGTCGAGGGTGCCGGTGGACACCCGGGAAGGGTCAGACGCTCAGCTAAAGAGGCCCGGAGAACGGCTGGGATTCATTCCTTCACGTCAAGGCTTCCCGGCCTCAATGCCAGGGGAGAGGCCGCCGAGGGCTTGCAAAGGGGGGGGGGGGGG